GAGTGTATTAGCATGAGTGTATTAGCATGCGTATGTTAGTTGTTTGTGTGTGTATGTATAAGCATGTGTATATGTGTGTGTGTGTATATTCAGATACGTGTACTACATGCAGCGCTATATTAATGTGTTCAGTGTGTGTACGAATATTAGTTGTGTATACGGGTGTATCACTGATTGTGTGTGCGCGTCTTTATGTGTATGCACGTGTGCATGCACACATTAGTGCATGTATATATATGTGTGCGTCAGAGCATTAGGTGTGTGCGCTGCATGTATATATATTTTAATGTGCGTGCGTGTGTGTGCGCGTGCGATCTTGGTGTATGTCGCATGCCCGCGCGGTAATTTCCGATAAAAGCCCCCCGCTTTCACCAAAATCAATATTTTTCGCTAAAACGCCCTGGAATGACGCTGACGTGGGGGGGGGGGGGGGGGGGGGTATTATTTATTAAGCTGCGCATCACCCCTCCCTGCACCCCTCCGTCCACCCATCCGTCGGCGCACGGCACCCTTCATCCCCGACCTCGCGGCCTTCGTTTAACCACGTGTGGGCCCCCCCCCCCCCCTCTGCCACCCTTCGTACCTGCGGGGCCATAGGAACACTCTGGATGATTGCCGTAATGACTTTACACATCCTTGCGGACGCCGAGCACGGACAGCTTCACGCTGCTGCGGCAGTGCTGGCTGTCTCTCCGACGCCGTTGTCATCAGCCCGTTGTTGCTGTTGCTCGTTCGCTGAACAATGGTCACGCTGGAATAATTGCTATTGTTACGGCTTAGGTAGCGTTTTTCATCTTAAATTGTGAGATTTTTAAACAGCAAATTAAGTTAAAATAGGAAATGCCTGAAAATAGGAAATTCCTTCTGAAAGGGAAATGTTTTTTTTTAAAGACGGGGACGCGAAGATCCCAACCGAACCGGACTCCCCCGACAGCCTTCGGCCGAAGAGTTCCACAGTCTGGGTGCCACGGAAGCAAAGGCTGCCATCGCCCTTGGGACCTGTGCTTTGGTGTGGCGATGCAAGAGGAGGTCTAATCCGCCGACAACAGAGTCCATGTTGGAACGTAGGGGGCGCAGCAGTAGCAGCTCTCAAATATATTGTGGTGTGCGAGATCATCCAGGGTCTTAACTCCTCTCGAGGATTTGTCTGCAAGCTAGCCCCCCCTTGCCCAAACGTGCCCATCGCGTGTTGTCGTGTTAGCTTTCTCGAGATGCTGCTCCGGGCACGCGCAGCGGAACGTCGGATGTTGCGTCGACGCAACACACGGTGCAACCCGAAAACGCATCGGAGAGCTTTAAACCGCAACCGTGAAAAACGGAATAATAATATTCTATTGTGAATGCATTACTATTATTACTACGCTTGTTTACCCAGGAAAGCCTCGCTGAAAATCAAGCCCCTTTGAGGAGGGTCCTGCCAGGTTTTTTGCAGTAGTTGGGGCGGGGTCAATGTTGCTGCTGTAGTAATTTAGTAATTTTCTGGTAAATACTCATCGGGAGGTTTGGCTAATACCAGGGGAGAACTATTGAAACTAAAAAAAACAATGTTTTATTTTACAGCAGCATTGCTGCGGTTGCACTGCAGCAATGCTCCTGTGGCGGTCGGTATGGTCAATTTAAACTATTAAACCGAACAATTTGTTTTGCCAGGTAAGGTCCACTGAGCTATGTAGCTCTCTTTCAGAAGCGACCTGGCCATATGGCTTATCACGTGGGAATTTAGAGCAGCCAAATACTCTAAATACATGTTTCTAAATGTGGTGGGAAAAACCTCAGGATCCGGAGAAAAATCCAGACGAGCACGGGGAGAGAGAGAGAGAGACATGCAAACTCCGAATATACAGGCGTCAGGGTCAGGATCGAACCCACGATCGCCTGTATACCAGGCGAGGGAGTTAACATCTCGCCACCGTGGCTCCCACATACAACGACCTCCACAGGGAATGGCCCATCTTGCTGTTGGGCACAAGTACTGCGTGTTGTTCGGCAAGCCGCAGAAGCTCCGTGCGGTGGGACATCGTGCCAAACAACAGGCGGTAACAAGTGGACAACGCACCAGAGGCTGCAGACACCCTCTCTCTCTCTCTCTCACTCTCTCTCAAGCCTGGCTCTTTACACAGAGTCAAGGGCTAGGCTCCAGCGGTAACTCGATCCTTGGAGTACGCTGCACGATGGTCGATGCTAGATGGAAGCTGGGCTGATGCTGGGCCTTAAGTTCCTCTTATTTATTTTTTTGGTTTGTTGTATGTATGTATGGTAAACTTTGTTCACACTGTATGTAACCAACCGTGCTAATCGGAGGTGCAGTGTTGAGTCTACGGGCAGTGTTGAGTCTATGGGCAGTGTTGGGTCTATGGGCAGTGTTAGTCTATGGGCAGTGTTGAGTCTATGGGCAGTGTTAGTCTATGGGCAGTGTTGAGTCTATGTGCAGTGTTGAGTCTATGGGCAGTGTTAGTCTATGGGCAGTGTTGAGTCTATGGGAAGTGTTGAGTCTATGGGCAGTGTTAGTCTATGGGCAGTGTTGAGTCTATGGGCAGTGTTGGGTCTATGGGCAGTGTTAGTCTATGGGCAGTGTTGAGTCTATGGGCAGTGTTGGGTCTATGGGCAGTGTTAGTCTATGGGCAGTGTTGAGTCTATGGTGCAGTGTTGAGTCTATGTGCAGTGTTAGTCTATGGGCAGTGTTGGTCTATGGGTAGTGTTGAGTCTATGTGCAGTGTTGAGTCTATGGGTAGTGTTGAGTATATGTGCAGTGTTGAGTCTATGGGCAGTGTTGAGTCTATGGGCAGTGTTGGGTCTATGGGTAGTGTTAGTCTATGGGCAGTGTTAGTCTATGGGCAGTGTTAGTCTATGGGCAGTGTTGAGTCTATGGTGCAGTGTTGAGTCTATGTGCAGTGTTGAGTCTGTGGGTAGTGTTGAGTATATGTGCAGTGTTGAGTCTATGGGCAGTGTTAGTCTATGAGCAGTGTTGAGTCTATGGGCTAGTGTTGAGTCTATGGGTAGTGTTAGTCTATGAGCAGTGTTAGTCTATGGGCAGTGTTAGTCTATGTGCAGTGTTAGTCTATGGGCAGTGTCAGTCTATGGGCAGTGTTGAGTCTATGGGCAGTGTAGAGTCTATGGGCAGTGTTAGTCTATGGGCAGTGTTAGTCTATGGGCAGTGTTGAGTCTATGGGTCAGTGTGGAGTCTATGGGTAGTGTTGAGTCTATGGGCAGTGTTAGTCTATGGGCAGTGTTAGTCTATGGGCAGTGTTGAGTCTATGGGTCAGTGTGGAGTCTATGGGTAGTGTTAGTCTATGGGCAGTATGTATGTATGGTGAACTTTTTTCGCACCGAACGTAGCCAACCGTGCTAATCGGAGGTGCGAGTTACCTTCGTGAGCCACCCCTCCCCTATTCCCCATCCCTCCTCCCCCCCCCCCTTTGTCTCTAAATTTCCCCTAACCCTCCCCCGATCCCCATCTCATGGCCAGGTCAGAAAGTGAACCTGGTACACCGTGGTAAATAGCTCCCGTTCGAGGAGGTAAGCCTACCCAGAAAGCAACCCCCCCCCCACCCCTCTAACGGCATGCTGATGCTACCCGTGCATTGTAATGTGCCCTCCGATGTGATCGCTGATATTGCTTCGAAGGAAGAAAAAAACGACCAAGAGACACCGCAGCGATCGGCGACTGCCCGACGTGAAATTCACAGCAGATGGCACGACTCTGGCGAATCCCCGTCGACATTAACCAGGGAGTCAACCGTTGATCAAAGAATAATAATAAGTCAATAAACGATTCTAATTCGAAGGTATTTATTGACCGGTTGCTGGGCGAAGTTGGCTACCCACCCCGGTGTCTGTGTCAGCCACGTGGAAGCTGGTAAACCAAATCAGTTGGCCGTGACGTGACAACCCGATTTGATCGCCTCTGTCCAGTTGGTGGGAGGGTTGTAGTTGAGGCTTGACATTGTATAGACACTGCACGGCGATCTCACCCAAAAATAAAAAGGTGACGTTATACAGGCTGTAAGAGGGGGGGAGGGGGGTTGGTGTCGTACGTGTGCGTGTTGTGTGAATGTATTCGCCAGCAGAGGGCGTCTCTCCCCGGTACAAGGGGAGAATTTCACGAGAGGTGGGGGGGGGGGGTGCGGAAACTTCACGCAAGTTTAGCGAAGACTGCAAACAGGTGTGTACGCGCGTACACACACACACACAGGTAAACACACACACACGTGTAACATACAGCCCTACGAGCATTTACACTTTCATGAACACCACGTGTGTACGTACAGACGCACACAGCTAGGTACAAATACAAGCGACAGACAGGCAACGCAATGCGTATACGTACTGCTAAAATTGAGAGTGTGAACACACAGCGATGTGGAACACAAAGCGAAATCGCAGGAGACATCTGCATGCCGAGTAGCGCATTCAGTACACACACAGCACATAGAGTACACACACACAGTACAAACACAGTACACACACAATGTTGTCCCACGTCCGAACGCAAAGCCGCATCCGAGTGAATTAAAACCGCACGCGGCGAATTTTGTTAAGAAATAGGTGAGCCGCATATAACGCGAAATCGCACAAAGCAAGGGAAACCTGTGCACGAACAGGTGTTATGGGTTAGGGATCATCATGCACTCCAACATCCATCGCACCATTTCGCTCAGGTCCATTAACATCACCACCCCCATCATCATCATCTCTGCCATAATCAAAAGATAAGATCCCTATCAACATCCCCACGATCTTTACTGCATCATCATCAACAACCCCATCTTCATTCAAACAATCATCACCCCCATCAAAATCATCACTCAAATATAATCAACCCATTATGACTGTCACAATCATCATCATAAGAGCACCTTGACTGGGAGTCAAACCTGGAATCTGGGGAGGCCCAGGGTAACAAGATTGACTTAATTTCCAGCAGTATTGGGTTGGCCAGGGGTGTTTCGGTGTCGGCTCACGATGGCCGTGTCAGAGCAAAACGGGAGGCAGGGACTCACCTTAGTCCGTCCTCTCACGCGTGTGTGATGGCAGGCTCATGGTGCCCTGTACAACACAAAGACACACACGCACACAGCGATTGTGCGCTCCATTACATCTCAAGAGGCGCCTGTGACTCATCACATCAAATAAAAAAAGCCTAAACTTCTACATGTTCAAACAAGCAATCGGGGTTGGGGGGGGGGACGTTTGAATGCTTTGGCTACCATGGGCCAGTAGAAATGCCACATTGCCATGGGCCAGTAGAAATGCCACATTACGATGGGCCAGTAGAAATGCCACATTACGATGGGCCAGTAGAAATGCCACATTACCATGGGCCAGTAGAAATGCCACATTACCATGGGCCAGTAGAAATGCCACATTACCATGGGCCAGTAGAAATGCCACATTACCATGGGCCAGTAGAAATGCCACATTACCATGGGCCAGTAGAAATGCCACATTACCATGGGCCAGTAGAAATGCCACATTACCATGGGCCAGAAGAAATGCCACATTACCATGGGCCAGTAGAAATGCCACATACCATGGGCCAGTAGAAATGCCACATTACCATGGGCCAGTAGAAATGCCACATTACCAAGGGCCAGTAGAAATGCCACATACCATGGGCCAGTAGAAATGCCACATTACCATGGGCCAGTAGAAATGCCACATTACCATGGGCCAATAGAAATGCCACATTACCATGGGCCAGTAGAAATGCCACATTACCATGGGCCAGTAGAAATGCCACATTACCATGGGCCAGTAGAAATGCCACATACCATGGGCCAGTAGAAATGCCACATTACCATGGGCCAGTAGGAATGCCACATTACCAAGGGCCAGTAGAAATGCCACATACCATGGGCCAGTAGAAATGCCACATTACCATGGACCAGTAGAAATGCCACATTAGCATGAGCCAGTAGAAATGCCACATTACGATGGGCCAGTAGAAATGCCACATTACCATGGGCCAGTAGAAATGCCACATTACCATGGGCCAGTAGAAATGCCACATTACCATGGGCCAGTAGAAATGCCACATTACCATGGGCCAGTAGAAATGCCACATTACCAAGGGCCAGTAGAAATGCCACATTACCAAGGGCCAGTAGAAATGCCACATTACCATGGGCCAGTAGAAATGCCACATTAGCATGAGCCAGTAGAAATGCCACATTACCATGGGCCAGTAGAAATGCCACATTACCATGGGCCAGTAGAAATGCCACATTAGCATGGGCCAGTAGAAATGCCACATTACCATGGGCCAGTAGAAATGCCACATTACCATGGGCCAGTAGAAATGCCACATTACCATGGGCCAGTAGAAATGCCACATTACCATGGGCCAGTAGAAATGCCACATTACCATGGCAGGGGCCAGTCTCTCCATAGGACGACCAATCAGAGGCGGATCTGGTAACACGCGCCCTGGACGGTAGGGAGGGCGGGTGTTCCTGAAATGTCAAGCTTTTATATGGGGCCCTGCAGCATCAACTTAAACAAAAAACATTCCACGTATTGTCTCTGCTGAATATCAATTAAGTACCAATAATAACGATTTTCGGGGGTCTCCAGGGAAGAGGGACCAGTGGGGGGGGGGGGGGGGGGGGGGGGGGGAGACGCCCCTCGGATCGTCAACTAGGACCACTGCTGACTTCAAAAACTTGAACGATCCGGGAGATATGATGGCGGTCATGGCGATGATAGGGATGTTGACGATCATGATTGGGACAATGGTGGCGATGGTGATGATACATGATAGGGATGATGGTAGTGGTGGTGATGATGATGGTGATGATGGTGGTGATGTTGGTGATGATAGGTATGATGGTGACGCTGGTGGTGATGATAGGGATGAGGATGACGATGGTGGCGATGGTGGTGATGGCGGTGATTTGAAGGGACCAGTGACCTGTATTGAACTTGCGATATCCTGACTGGGGAGCCCGAGGGCTTTGGCCACAGCGACACACACACACAGCGACGCACACACACAGCGACACACACACACAGCGACACACACACACAGCGACACACACACACACAGCGACACACACACACAGCGACACACACACAGCGACACACACACACACACACAGCGACACACACACACACACACCGACACACACACACACAGCGACACACACACACAGCGACACACACACACACACAGCGACACACACACACACAGCGACACACACACACAGCGACGGCTGGCCGCACGCATTACTCCAGTCGTCGCATGTTCGCACAACACCTGTGGGTCTGCAGCACTTACTATGAATTACGATAATATAAGGTTCTGTGATGGGAGAGAAAGAGAGAGCGAGAGATGTAGTGAGAAGGGAGAGCGACTAAGGAAGTGAGATAGCGAGAGGGGAGAGAAATGGTGACAGTTATAATTGAGAGAGAGAGAGCGATGGAGCGAGATGCACGGTAACATAAAATGACAGAGACACACACACTGACACACAGAGAGGGAGAGAAATGCACGGGGCGATACAGGGAGGGAGAGAACCACACAGAGAGGGGTAAAAAACAACAAAAACCCGGCAATCGTGCAGATAAGCGAAACGCTGACTCGCGCGATGCAAAAAAAAAGTTCCCGATCGGCGTGGAACAAAGCAGAGAAAGAGAGAATTGGGAGTCGAGCTGGGCTTGGGTGAATGAAGAGAACACATTGCACGTACACAATGGGGGGTCTCTTTTTGTGCAGGCGCCGGTGACCGAGGCTGAGACTGTCAACTCGCCGCTACTCTCGTGATCCGGTTAAATCGCGGGTGGCGCCTGGAGCCCGGATTCGAACCCAGGTTCTCCGTGGTGAGAGCTCTACTTCTCTTGACACGACCACTGCAAACCCTCTGCCCCAGAATCTCACTGGCACGCTCTTGACACCGGTTCAACGCTCTGCCGTGGCCATTATAAACCACCCCTAGAGGCACCCAGGGCCCAGGACTCGAACCCAGGTGGCCCAGCGGCATTCCCAACACGGCCCCGTCATAAAATCAGCCGGCACCGCGGCTGCCTCAATCCCTTCGCTGCTCAAACTTAAAATTTCCCCTGCAACGGCATTCGACAAACGGCGATCGCATCCGACCCGGTTAGCGGCGGCCACGACAGGTTTGATTCGCGGTGCTGCTTTGCGGTGAATCGTCCAGGAACGCAACGTCAGCTGCACACGGGGGAGTGAGGCTGTCACCCGTCACCAACCCGAGTTAAGAACTCAACGCAAAAAGGACAAGCGCTTGATCGTTCGCAACAAACGCGCGTTCTCCCGCTTTCGCCAAAGTCCCATCGTCAATCTTAACGCGCCCCACGCTTTTGCTTCCGCAGCCGATATCAAAAAGCAGGACTGTCGAGATCCCATACCCTCGGTGTAGTTTTCCCAAGCATTACAGTCGCTGCGCCGACGAGCTGTTTAATTTATCGTGTCGTCATTTGGAGTGGGAGTGCAGGAAGCGTGTAAATGGGTAGCTTCCTGCTTTCGCGTGCCACTGCTGCATTGTGGTGGATGTTGGCAAACGATTGTGAACATCTCAAATGCAAGTCCCTGCAGGAAAAGCCTGTATTGCGGTATGTATGTATGTATTTCAAACTTATTTTGCACCGTACGTAGCCAACCATGCGGATATCAATCAAGCTTTTGGCTATGTGCAGCTTCGGATAGGTACATTATGTCTTGTAAGGGGATGGTAGTTATATAATCAGTCCAGCTTCTTCACATTTTTTTCGGCTTTTATGTAAAAAAAAATTCCAGCGATGGGTGTGGAATTGGAGAGGCGCCAGGGATCAAGCAACTGTGATGACCTGAGGGTTCATATACCTCATGCGTTATGGGACGGCCAAACCTGAGTCCACGTTATTTGACCTGAAGTTTTGCCAGATTTCTCCCGGAACTCGAGATGAAGGGCAACTCGACCAGGCCAACAAATTAGGTGTTTCCTACGACGTGCCGATTTCTATTCAAGGAATACCGCAAAAGCAAAATGCCAAGACTGCTTGTTGCTAAGAAAATCTACTTTTTAACCATTAAATCATAGAAATCTGCCACAGGCAACAGATTTGTTTGTTTTATCGTAACACTTTTGGTGATGTATTTGTGCTGGGCCCTGAATTTTAACAAAGGCAATTCAGAGGCCAGGATGAGAAGAAAAATCACCCCAAACAATTTGGGCTGCAGCGCGAATTAGCAGTCAGATTACCAAAAAAAATACAGGAAACGTGCTGTGAAAACGCCGAACTTCGAGCTCAAACTTTGGTTACGAGGATCATGGAAAACCCCTACTTAGAGGGTTAATGCCGATGTCAGGATCGCTAGGGCAGTACCTCTTAGGTTCACCGGCAGGGTGGCTAAGACTCACGATGATCATGTCAGAGGACTGAGCCAAGCAACGGTGAGGCCCGAGGTTCGCGTGAAGGTGTTGGTCACCTGAGATTAAAATAAGGTGCTCACGTGCAAGCAAGTCAGCCGTCTCAGCCCGGTCACCGAGGACCGAATAAAATCCCACGATAGAATTAGCTTTTTTTGGTTAATCCGGACTTAATCAGGCTCCGAGGACAAACACTTTGGTTGAATGATGCGCGATGAACCGCTGTTCACAATGCGTAAAGAAGCAGCCTTGTGGGCCCGTACATGAGAGGCCTATGGAAGTCACTCCTGTTGATGTGTTCTGCCGTGTCACCGGCCAGAGCCGTTGTGAATCAGATGATCGAGAGTTCTGGAAGGAGAGCTTTCATCTTGTGACTAGCCACCTCTAAAAGGCAATTGGGATGTATTCCAGCCATTCCCAATCCACTAATGGATGAAGGTTTTGTGATTTGTTTTACTATACTTCTCTGCGGGTTGGTGAAGTAGTGGTGGTGGGGGGGGGGGAGTGTTCAGATATCACTCGCCAACGATTTTGGCCGTGGCCTGGAATCCAATTCTGGATCCCAAGGTTCAGTGCGCAGTGCGCTCACTTCTGCAACCACCGCTCCCACCAACCAGTGATGCGATTTTGGATATAATGCAAACAACACATTTTTGTAGTTGTTTGAGTTTGTGCCTT